AAGGGGAGGACGCTTAGACAGCTAAGAAATGATACAGACAACTGGACTATAGAAGCAGAAAACCTGATGTATGCTCATCAAGTATTCCTGCTACCTCTTCTTTGTAACTATAAGGCCAGGCTCAGACTGCAGGAGTTTTAAAAATCAGATTTAAAAAGCAGGTTGCATCACTAACAGAAAAAAACAGATGTCTTCTCTTTAATTTCAAACATGAAGGCACTGCAATATTTAAAAAAGCAGACCACCACACGTGAGCTAAAGTATATCATGTGTAGAGACACGTAGACTGACCAAAACATGCTGTAGCTTTCCTTTCCTTGAGTAAAAAAGCAAAAGATAAATGATTGAGAAAAAGCAGACATTCTTCAGCTTCAAGAAGAAAAATAGCCCAAAAACATCTTTAAAATAAATAGAACATCATTGCTGATGGCCCCAACCAGATTCTGCTCCTGATTTTTAGAAGGGAAGACCTGGTATTAATTGGCCAAGAACTTCTCAAATCAGAGCCTCGGTTTATTCTATATTTTCTGCCTGAGGTCCCCCACTGCTTGTCTTCAATTTTCTCTTTCAGCAAAGAGAAGCATCACTGACTTGGACTGTGATTGAGACCTTATGAACTTTAAAGTGTCGATAATGTGCTGATGGAGGTGAGAACAGATATCTTTGGAAAGTAACTTCTGTAATGGAGTGTATACATTTATCAGTATCCAGTGTTTAGAAAAGTTTTCTTGTCATAAAATGTTCAAGTTACTATATATATATATATATATATATATATATATATGTATGTGAAATGTCATCTCCTGTTTCTTTGACAGATGAAAAACTAAGGAATGTTCTCGAGGCAATGGTTCTCTGACCTTCAAATACTGATTAAAGAAAAATACTACTCCTTGGAGACACAGCAAAGAGGGTCAGCTACAGTATGATCCAAGATGGCCGCACAGTAAGAGAAAAATGGCTAATTTAAAGAAACTGCCCATTTGTTTAACATACTCTTAATAATACAAAACCCCATTTGAATGATAATCAGGCAGGGAAACAGTCCAATTCTGCTTGAAAAGTCCACAAAAACAATCCTGAGTTGATTCAACACAATTACATTACAGCCTAGCGTATTGGGAGAATAGACAGTAAACAAAATGCTTGACTCTTCTTTTCAATTTGTGTTCACCTGTAATTCCTCTCCAAACAACATAATAAAGAAAGAATTCAGACAAAGGGGGTTACATTATATCTCAGTTCTTCTGTTAGACAATAGAGTCCCTCTTAAGGCATATACTGAAACATTTCTAACATTTAGGTTTCATCAGGATGATATCTGTTGATAACCCTTAAGTCTAATGTACGGTCAAAAGCATTAAGATGATGGGACGTCTTATCAATAGCTGGTATCCTGCACTCCTATTGCACTTAAATTATCGCAGCAATATAACTGTTTAGGATTTTAACTTTTACATCTCCAAACTCAAATACATTTCAGCTTGAAGTGGTTGATTTAATTGCTGTATGTGTGTGTGTGTGTGTGTGTGTGTGTGTGTGTGTGTGTGTGTGTGTGTGTGTGTGTGTGTGTGTGCCTGTGCTTTGTGTCTACTTCAAATGAAAAATAAAATTATATAGCGGGCATGTTTATTGTTATGTGAGACTTGGGTTTCTTCAACCACACGCACACACACGCACACACACGCACACACACGCACACACACGCACACACAAATAAAAAACTTTAATCTCCATTGAACAGTTTGCTCCTGCCTGATATTGTTATGCTTTACAAGCAGCAATCAATCCGTTGAGAGCTTGAGCTTGATTCAGCACCAAAGGGATTAAAGTGACCGTCCAATTGAAGGTTTAGTATTCCAGTGGTGGCTAAAGGTAACAGCTCACTGCCTTCTTATTTATCTTTTTCCAAATGAGCCATAACACTTCCCCCTTTAACCATTTGTCAAATGCTTCCTGTGTCAATCATTATATCCTTTATTGCTGCCAATCCAAAAAACAAAAGTGAAACTAGCCATGTACTCTTGTTGATTTAATTTCTATGGCTTGGTCTTACTCTTTCCTTCCCAAATTCAGGGTTGGAGTGATGGAAGAGGCAGAAGGTCTCCCTAGAATTGACTCATCCAAAGTTTTCCTTGACTTTTGGTCCTGCGACTGCTCTTTACTTGATCTGACTTACCATGCAAATAGATTTCACAGATCCTCTCATTTGACCTCATAGCATGCATTAAAGAGTGGCGAAAGGGTGATTGAAGTGACAGAGTGAAACATGGCCATGAAAGGACCAGAGACCTTTCTAAAAAGATAATGATGCAGATGCAAAGTAGTGTAGTGTATATTTTTAGGGATCCACTACAATGTAGCATACAGATGTAATTTGTCTCATTTTAATGCAGGATAGCTGAAGAGGGCCTTTTTCAATGATGTTTGAAAAACTTTTTAGAGGTGTAAGCACATATATCAAGTCCATAAATAAACATAAATACAAGCCGCAACTTAGTTTGGAATGTGGAGGAAGCCAGGGCTGCTATCAGCATTGGCATGAGTGCATCAGCCGAGTAATAGTGAGATGTTTCAGCTCATAATGGCGGCACTGCACCTGCATGAATATAATTGGACGTGACCTGTCAGCTGGTGGACACACAGCTGATGGAAATGAAGGTGATTGAGCAGCTGACAGCAATCAGCATATTATTTTTGTTCCCTGAAACATGCACGTATGAAATGTCATCATATGCTGACAATGAATTTACTTGTAACCTAATAGTTTAAAATGGTTAATTTAGCATAGCAATTAAGGTAATTAGAAAGTCATGCTGTCTATATTGAACACACTGGGCTGGATCCACAAAAGGGTTTGTGTTGCTTTTGCAGGCGCTAAACCTGCAAATGAGAGAACAGGATAGCATGGAATCCACAAAGCATGCACGGACGGGGAAATTCGCACAAACTGCAATACCAAGCAGATAGGTGCGCCTTTCTAATTGCATTTATGTCAATTTGGGAATATTCAGTGCAAAATTGCCCCCCTTTCTATATGCAAAAGAGGCTTGTTTCAAATACCATGCCATCCACAAAGACCAGCGCTAATTGCCACAGTCAGTTACATCAGTGTTAACGCCATTGAGACCTGCCATTTCACCTTCTCTCTCTTCTCTCTCTCTCTTTCTCTGTATTCGCTTTCTCAAATTAACAAAGAAAGGACTGAACATAGCACTCAGCTGGAGGTATCTGTGACTCAGCATTTTTAAAAGATGTCACTCGCAAACTTCCCAGTGATCAGGAAAACAATTCCGCCTGTATGACTTTAGAATAAATTATCTTTTAAAGTCTGTAAATATTACTTTGACTACTTTTATTAATAATATCAGGGCTTAAATCAATCCAGGGCTGTCAGCTACTCTACACTTTATCCACATCAGTGGAGAAGTTTGGAGCTATTCATATGAGGATGTGAGTTTCTTAAAAGCGAAGTAAATTCATATTTTTGAGTTAAAGTTAAAAATAAGTTAACATTTATATAGTGAACTATTTACATATGAGTTGTTATTTAGATATTTACATGTTTTAATATTTTAACTGTGACCAAATTATATTTAATCTACCTCTGTGGTTGTCATAATTTTTGCCTTGAGTGTAAGCCTCTGATTGACTAACGGAGGGACATGTGATGAGTAACAGGGAAGTGTGTTGTTGTTGTTGTTGTTGTTGTGGTGGTGGCGTAGCATCAGATCATGTTACAATGGACTGTGGCTGAATGGCTACATAGGAGAGGATAATTATTAGCTGCTTGAGATAGGTTAATAAGGTTCCAAACTTAAAAAGCTAACTTGAAACACGAATTTAGATTTGGTCAAATCTGATCCAAGTCGCTTTTTGATATATGCAATGAGTTGCACATCTGTGCACAAGGCACCCAGCCTTAAGTTCCACATTATGAAATATTGCTCCAAAGCGATTTTCAAAATGTGTCTTATTATGGACGTGTTGAATGCTCAAGGCTTTATACGTCACACAACTACATCCAGAGTGACGCATGACCATCGGTGTTGGTGCAGTAAAACAGGCTTCTGCTTGTTTAGGTTTATTTTCAAGTTCAACCATTTTGTTGTTGGAAAACCTTGTACTTTTTTTATTTAAACATGGGAATGTGATCTGTTTATTTTGGTCTGGTTAGTTGTCTGAAATTCTGATTTAAGAATCGATTTTTAATATCCTGCAGTCTGGAAAAGACACACTTTATAAAGCCTCACATTTCTGCTCGCATATTTTAGTCTGGTAGTTTTGTGTGAATATCCTCAGGTGAGTACTCTACACATGCAGCTATGTAATCAAATTCACATCACAGAAGCTTGTGTGTGGTTCCTTAGCAACATACAACAAAGACATACTGTACAAAATAAATCCTGCACATACTCCATGCTTACAATTAGCTTGTATGCTCATAAAACCTTGAATTGACTTGTTCCCTGGTCTCTGGAGGCTTGTTCTCTTTCATGTCTAGCTTGTTGAACAATGTATTGCTATCTTATAAAGAAAGCATTTATTTGCTTTTGTAGGAATGTTCTGTACATGATGCAATTATCTATGCATAATTACCTCCTGCAATTTGATGGATTTCACAGCTTGGATTTTGCAGCGTGTTGGCTAATGGAAGCAGACAGGAACGATTCCTCTTCATTAGACTGTTCCAACATCCTCGTTGACACGAGAGGTCCATGTTCACACAAAAGAACAACATGAACCAAGACTGCTGCCATATGAACTATTTTTCTGTCTGCAGTCTTCATTAATATTTAGCAGTACAAAAACACTGTATTTTAACCTGCCAGTATCCATTCAAAAGAGAGAATACCAAATCTACATCAGAGGGAGAGATGTTGGCCAGCAGCTTCTTTAATCTAAACACAGTGAAGCATATTTGCCTAAATGTTTCATCAGTGATACACATTGGCAAATGTAATGACAGAACACACTTTGAAGCTGCAGCTGTGGTGTTTATTCCTGCTTGTTTGTGCCTGAACAGGTGAGTTTAACATATCATGGTTAGCTATTTTAGAGCTCCTGAGGATGGAAGAGCATTTGCAATGTGAAATATAGATCTCTTTCGGAGCTGAACCCTTCTTCGGAGCTGCATGTTTGCAGTGTGGGGACCATCTGGGGGGCTGTTGGAGGGTGGGTAATTGAGGATGTGGGGGTTAGCGACAAGACCCCTCCGGGAAATCCCCAGCAGATCAGCCATTATCTCGTGCTGAGGATTGGCTGCTCCTCCGCTGACATTTCCATTTATATCTGTCACGTTTGGATCCTGAGAAAGAGGAAGAAAACGAGACGGAGGGAGGAGACAGTCAATTTAAGGCTGGCTTGTGGCTCTAAATAGACATGTGAAGCATCTGTTTGTGCAACAACAATAGACTGTGGTCTTGGAATAAGTGACTGCTAGTGTGGTGTGTTTGGGGTCTCACAGTTAATCCTCTAGATTGTTTAAAGAAATACGATGAAGCACCTGTGTGCTCTTGTGTTCCTCAACAGTAAGCCTATATCGACTTAACAGCCACCCATCTAGCTGTTTTTGTCATTTTGTTGACAGTGTTTCGATGTAGTTAATTTAAAGAGGATTTGACTACATGAAAGTCATCTTTGTTTAATGCAATTTTTGCTGTTTACACTTTTTTTAGGGGGGGGGGTTGCAAAGTATGTCTCAATCGTACATCAGTACTTTGTATCAGCATAGTGTAGCCCTTAACAATACATTTAGATATTCTGAGCGAGTTAAATAATGCTATGTTATCCATAATGTAGTTAGCTCCTAGCATTCGTTTGAAACATTAGCTGAGAAGAAATATTAACACAAACCTAAATGGCAACACATAAATCAAGAAACAGCAGCCAAACTTAACACCTGTGGGTGTCAGTAATCAAGTAAATAGCCTTTTAAGATGCTAAAGCTGGGTGTACCAGGATTGCTGCAAATCATGTATCAATGATGTAACAAATATCAATGTACTGTATAACCACGCCCAATACAAACCTTGTATCAGTTTAGTTTACGTAAACCAACATGAAAGTATTTCCTATTCGGAGTGAGCTACTTGTTAATTCTTTAGAGTGTTAAAGTGTTTGCAACAGTCTTTGAATTAATTAGTAAAAGAGAAATGGTTAGGCTTTCTCTAAGCAGTCGAAGATGTATTCAGACAAGAAGTTAAGGCAGCATGGCCTGTGTGACATTTAGAACTTTCATTTTGTTTCTGGAAACTTTGAAAAGCTGCATCCATCATATTTGCTCAGACTCCTGCCAGACACTTTTTTATTGTATTGAATTGTGACAAAGCACTTCAGAGTCATGATTACAATGGTAAAGACGCTGTAATTGCAACCATTATTCAACATAGCTCAAAGGGTTTGTATTTTCTTTTTGCATTCTAATGCGTCTGTGCTTGACAGAGTCATCAAGACAGAAAGTAGTATCGCAGCTACAGTAATGGGGTTTTCTTGTGTTCATTGTTGACTTTAGGTGTTCTCTGCTTCTATATACACAGCCTGATGTTCCCCTTAAGCCTTTGATATCTTTTTTCCAATTGACCCATAAAAAGTCAATGTGTCATTTCTTTATATTTACTTAAAGGGCTCCCACAGAAGTCTAACAGCATGATTTCTCCAACTTTATGCAAAATCCTATTCATTGGACGTGATACCTGTGCACCTCAAGGTGACAAGCAACCATGACTGCTGCTTGAAGTGATATTGTGAAATAGCTGAAGAAGTATTTTAAGAAAACTGCAGCATGTATGACTGAATCTGTATTTAAAAAAAAAAAAAAAAATCAGATTTTTTGTTACCAAAAAAAAAGATATGACTAAGAAATCCTATCTAAGAATACTCACAGGCCCCTACAGCATTCCTAAACTGTGAACATGATGATGTGTTAAATTAAATCTGGTTTATTGGTCTTGGTTAAACAGCATTCCTTCACTATTCTCTCTTTGCCAGTGTAAATAGAGGAAGCAGTAAAGATCAGTCCCCTCAAGATGTCTCTCACGGGCAAAAAATTACACCAAACCTAAACAGTTGCAATTAATAAGTGCCAGGCACCCCCACAGGTCCTGAACGGGGGAATCTATCCACTTGTCCTGGAGTAAAAGGCCTGTGGGATCAGCACAGTGCAGGATGAATGAGGTGTTGTGCCTGACACCAGGAGATTCCAGTTAATAAATGGTGTGCTTGATTTGGGGCTGGTTGTGCAATTGTATTTGGACAGTCTGATGAATTGGGGACTGGGAGCTGTCGTCACTTTTTTTCTCTAAGCAGAGGTGATAATTTATGTCGGAAAGCACAAGTGTCTTCTTTAAACTGTACGTTTTCTCTTCTTCTGTTTGAACAGAGAATCCTCACACCACTAAAAGGACTTCAGAGTATGTGTTAATTTGTCAATGAAGACTGTGATGAAATGCATTCATTGTCAAATGTTCTTTTCCATTATTAAATAAAACAATTACTGAAAAGAAAATCTGTTTTATCAATGGAAATTGGGAAAGCATGACAAATGTTGAAATTAGGCATTACTACATTCTCATCTAATTATCACCATGAATCTGTTTCATTTAAAGCAGTACATTATTGTGCTGGGTAAAATTAGATCTACCAACAACTCCTTTTCCCTTTAGAATTGGATTTGATTTTAAGTTAGTTGCACTTTGTCTTTTCTAGTAATGTTAGGTATCTGTCCCTGCAAGGAACAGAATTCAAGCATAGCAAATCTAACTGGAAAACGAGAAAATGAAGGAGAAAAACAAGAAAACACAACAATAGAAACTTGTCCCAGGATAAAAGACACATCAGTTTGTCACATCCCTTTGTCGTGTCGTACAAATATGTATATTCTGATACAGTAAGTGACAGCAGCTAATTTTATACAAGACGATTTATAGACTGACTAGCATGCCATGCAAAACCAACTCTGACTCTTTCTCTCTAACTCTCCACTTTCCTCTGATACCATATGTTAGCTGAGTGTGAATGCACAAGTGTGAGAGGCATTACCGCCACAGCCGAGTGGGGTTATATTTAATATTTAATTTAATCAGCTGAAGTGTTTGTTTTTCTCTTCATAAGACAAATGCCAGATTAAATCAGCTGAAAAAATGATTGGAATTTGTTATCATCGCCTCACGACACAACAACGACGGGCAGAACGCAATGAGCAGAATTAACAAATTCCAATGTTTCAAAACTATGTTGGTAGACTGTAACTTGAAACACCTCTTTTATTTATTAGTGAAGTATAGAGTTCATATTGTAGAGACTAAAATAGTCTGTGAAATGCCCTCTTGCAATTTGCACAGTTAGGCAGCTCAGACTTTGCAGAGTTATTTTGGCTTACACTTCTTCTTTGGCTCAATGCAGGAACCTAGATTGGATCCCCCTCTGCCATACTGGTTAAACTGTAGGACCACTCTGGATACATGAAACCGAGATATTACTTCCTTAAGGCAGATACAAGAGACCAGATGTCCCCTTTGCTACATTGCCCGAAATAGCATATCACATACGGTATCTCTTTTTCATTTCTCTCCAGCAGGGAGAAGGAACGAGTGAAGGACAAGGTGTACAGATCCCAGTATAGTTTCAACAAAGGAAATTAAAAAAATCAATGTGAAAGCATGTCAGGTATTTGCATGTTTCCAACATGAATACAATGGATGGTGGAGATCTTCCTCAATGTTCTTTCCTCCATCCTCATAGAAACACTTGTCAATAGTTTAGACTAATTAGTAAACATGTTAGACTGCAGGCTACAAACTACATCCAAAGTTTTCCAATGACCTTCAGTGTTGAATGAAAGACACATCTATAATTTGGCCAAACCAAACACACCGCGCCTCGGTCTTTGTATTCAGATGAAGCCTCTGCCGAGCTCTGTGCCCAGAATAGCTTGTGAATGGGTGCTAGACAGAACTCAGTCAGACCATGCCTATGCCAAATGCCTACTTGCTTACATGGAGACAAAACATTAAACAGCTCTGCTTGATCTGCGTGTGTCTCATTGCGGATGCATAATGCATCAAGAGTATGAATAATTTACATAAACAAGTGGAGGGAATCTGTCTGGTGCTCTGCCAACACTGTCCTCTCCTACTTCCACCTAAAAAGCTGTCTTTTCTCTCTCTTTTGTAAAAATCCAAAACAAACCTTCATATTGTTGAGACAGATGGCAGACAGGGTGAAACTGAGTCTGCTATCCAGAATCACACTGGGGTGGCAATGGAGGTTGCCATGGAAATCAGTAAGAGAAGCAATGTGTTAGACTCCCCTGAAGGGACATGGTTGTCACTTGGCGGACTTACACAGAGTTATGTAAATCTGTAAATATTTCTTTACCTAATTAAAGATTTAAGGCGTTAGTGAAGGAGTGGGGAATTTTAGTTACTACTAGAAACCAATTTTATTTCTGCAGTAGGATAATGAAGATGTATGAAAAAAAAAGTTATTTAATTATCTTGAGTTAAATTCCAGCAATATACATGTAGTTTCAACAAGTTGCAACCTCCAGGATTAAGAATTTTGGTAACTCAGTGTAAAAAAACAGCAATTCCTCAAATGGCCACATGATGCTGGTTCCAACAATGGGTCTACAGAGTCAACATTAGTACCATTACGAACATTGAGTTTCCCAATTGCCCCATTCATTAAAATTGCATTATTCCCCAGAAATAGTCATAGTTGTTTTTCATTCTGTTTTTGATTTTTTATTTCTAACAGTTTTCTTTTTAGTTAGTTTTTAATGTGCTGATATTTGGAGTTATGCAGTTTTGTTCAATTCTAAGGAAGATGTTTACTTGTTTCTTGCCTTTATAGTTCACCAGCTACTGGCTCAATCTTTATATTTCCAATAACATTTTTTAGTATTCATAGATATTCAGGGTATGATCTGACAAGACAGTTTTCATCTGGAAAATAACTTTCTAACACTGTGGAAAAGAGTATTTCACTCTCACATGACCTTGGTTTGACTGGAAAAGAAAATTCAAACCTTTAAATAAAAAATCTTTAATGAAGGACGCTGGGTACAGTAAGTCCAATGATTTACTTCAGCCACACTCAGGAATCTGTTTTCTTTCCTTACATGTTTCAAGGATTTCCTGATTGTGCAGGGAGTCAAACTCAAATGGGGTGAGAGACTGCCGATGAGAGTGTTGGTGGTGGAGCTGACAAATCTCACATTGGGTGTATCTTAAGTTGAGAAGATGTGACACAGACATGTGATTTTCCCTCCCTCATGTGAAGCGCCACGTAGACTGATTTTAATCA